AAAACACATCAGAGATCCTGGTTTAAATCTTATACAAAGCTAAGTAATAATTAAACTGACATAACTGTCTTTATTAACTAAATGTATAGCAGACATTGTACCCTTCACAATACTTAAAATCAGTAGACTGAATTCATTACATTTAATATTATAGTTACTGTAATAACTAATCAAATGTTTTGTTATATGTACATAGGTTAAGTAAAATCTCTCCAAGCAAACAATTCTTAAAGGAAATGGTAGATGATGTAACTATTAAAATGAAACAAAATGATTTCCACAATAATGATAAGATGAGGAATGATTCAATGCTGAAAGGCATAGAAAAACCATTCAATTATTTTTACTTGCAAAAGAAAATCACTAACATGAATGAGCTGCACTAGTGTGCCATATTGGTCTTTTTTTTCACTTTGTTGCTGGACTTTGTTTAGCCATAACATACTGAATGGTAGCCAATCACCAGATTTTAAACGCAAAATATGCTTCAACTGTGCCCAAGACAAGAAGGAAGAACGAGAAAGAAGTGGTGCTGACAGCAATGGACTCTATAGGTTGGTGGCCATGATTGACTCTTGCCATCATCTTCATGTGGCTTGAAGTTTTTCATGGCCTTTGCCCCTGTGTGGCACTGCTTTTAACTTGGAGCAATTTTTGTAACCTGTCAAAACATTTGTCTCTGTTCATCAATACCTGAGAGAAAGCACTTTTAAAGATTTTGCAAATCCCAATTTGGGAACTTATATGGTGTCAAACATAGCACACTGGTATTGGCAAAAAGAGTTCTTAGTTTTGATATTTCATAAATATTGCTGAAACTTCAATCCATACTTCTAGTTAATGATGCAGGACTTGAGAATGTCTTCACATATTAAATTCTCATTAATAAAAGGTCTATATTTCTGCAAAATCTGATTTTGCATTGCAACTCTTTATGTTCTACTATGAACTGCCAGAATTTAAGTATTGTTGAGCCACAACGTGTGGAAACCATAGAAGCCAATGAAACTGAATGACAATCGGTATGGAGAATCGCTATTCCAGTTCTGACACTGGGTAAGATAAAACTGAATGATAATCAGTATGGACAATTGCTATTCAGTTCTGACACTGAACAAGATAAAACTGAATGACTCAGTATGGAGAAGCACTATTTGAGCTCTGACACTGGACAAGATAAAACTGAGCGACAATCAGTATGGACAGCAATTACTATTTCAGTTCTGCTGCTGGACAAGATAACACGGAATGGCAATCAGTATGGAGATTTACTATTTCAGTTCTGCCACTGGACAAGATTAAACTGAATGACTAAGTATGGAGAATTACTTACAGTTCTGACACTCACTGGACAAGATAAAAACACTCAGTCACTATGGAGAATCAACTCTTCAGTTGTAACAGTGGACAAAATAAAGCTGAATAAAAATCATTATGGAGAATTACTATGTCAGTTCTGACACTGGACAAGATAAAGCTAAATGGCAAACAGCATGGACAATTGCTATTTCACTTCTGACACTGGACAAGATCAAACTGAATGACAATCAGTATGGAGAATTACTATTTCAATTCTGACACTGGACAAGTTAAAGCTAAATGGCAAGCAGCATTGACAATATTATTGCTATTTCAGTTCTTACACTGGACAAGATCAAACTGAATGACAATCGGTATGGAGAATTATTACTTCAGTTGTGACACTGGACAAGATCAAACTGAATGACAATCAGTATGGAGAATTACTATTTTAGTTCTGACACAAGACAAGATGGAACTGAGTGACAATCACTCTGGAGAATTACTATTTCAGTTTGGGTACTGGACAAGATAAAGTTGAATGATAATCATCATGGGGAATTACTACATCAGTCATGACACTAAACAAGAAAAAAAGGAATGACAAGCAGTATGGAGGATTACTGCCTCAGTTCTAACACCAAACAAGGTAAAAATGAATGGCAATCAGTATATATGTATTTTTAAAATAACCGAGCTACTACACACACTCTCATTGGTTGATGGGTGTGTTTAGATGAGAGTATGTAAACAGGGTTGTGACATTTTAGATTTGTGCATATTTTGAGAATTATTTTATAAAAGCAATAGAGCACATTTTCCATGTTAACATAGCCTCATCTAAACACTTGGAGGGTTGGGAGAATTCCCAAAAGTTATGCAAACCCTCGACTATGTCTCAGGTTTGCCTAACTGTCTCAAATTCTCCTAACCCTCTGAGTGTTTAGATGAGGCTATGTAAACACAGTTATGCAAACCCTCGAGTATGTCTCAGGTTTGCATAATCGTCTCAAATTCTCCTAACCCTCCGAGTGTTTAGATTAGGCTATGTTAACACGGAAAAAGTGCTCTATTGCTTAAATATGGGTTATCTACCAAGTACAAGGTCAAGATGGCTGGAAATTCTAGTTGACATGTTTTAATCTACCATTAAATATTTGATTCTATCAGCAGGTAGGGCGAGGAATAGTCAAGAAAGTGAACAGTGACAAAGCACTGCAGCAAAATTCTGGCTACAAGACAAGTGCAGAATCATTTCTGAATTTACTATTTCACTCCTGACACTGGACAAGGTAAAAATGAATGACCATCAGTATAGATGGGTTATTTACCATGTGTGAGATCAAGATGGCTGATATTCTAGTTAACACATAGTAATGTACCATTAAAATTTAGTTCTATCAACAGGCAGGATGAGCAATAGTCAAGAAAGTGAAATATGACGGAGCACCACAGCAAAGATCTGGCTCCAAGACAAGTGCAGGAACACTTAAGAATAAATGCTTTGAACTAAGCAGTAAAACTTGAAGAAAAAAATTCATTTTAATGTACATCTTTCAATCCTGACATGGTCATGTAGATATGTCTATATTAATATCATGTTTGAGAACTGAATGGCAAGGAGATTTTCGCAGTAAACGAAAGTAAACTTCACTGATGTAAAGAAGGCGCTAAGAGCAAATTAAAGACTACACTCCAATAAGCTCTTAAAACCTTCCTATAATAAATAACAACCAGAAACGTAAACATGGAAAAACAAGTGAGCCGCAAAACCTTAATGTGGTTGAACTTGTGTCGTTGTCCTTTACTTCTCTATATAAATTTGGATTACTCCTATCAACATTCCCCTCTCCCAAAGCTGCCAGTAATGCCGAGATGGTTAATCCCATAGTGAGTAAAGGCTTACATTCAATATCCTGCTCTGTCCTAAAGAAGAAAATTGAGAGAGTTTAACACCCCTCCACAATCCTGTTTTCTTCTAGAGGGAATTGTGGAATGGAGTTAAAATCTCATAAACAATTTTCCTTCTTTCCTGAGAACATCAAGCCTGGTGGTTTGCCTCCAATTTAAAATCCTCTACTTTCCTCCGAGCAAAGATCATTCAAAGAGCTGTAATTTCTGTCCCCAACCCCCATGAACCTCACCTGAATGAATAATTGTCAATGAAATCCACATTCCTCTACTTCCCCAGGGTAAAGATTTAAAGAGTAAGTTTAACTATAACCAACAATCCTTCAATCATCCTTTTTCAGAGCACCTTCCTGCCAAACTAATTTCCTCCACATTGGTATAAGAGACTACTCAAATACTAAAGGGTTTACGATCCTCCGATTAGAGTGGTTTTACTTAACCTGTGAAATAGATAGTGGAATTGTACACGCCACAACTTCGTATTAGTTCCTACTATCCCCCTGTAGTTAGTATTTCTTTTGTTTTCTACCCTTTGGTTTCCTATACCACCCACTAATACTAACTGGCAGAAAATATTACACACTAACGAGTAGTTTCCGTTTCACAGAATGACAAAAATCACTCACAAAAACA